CTAAGGCCGATTTTCTGGGGCCCCATCAGAGAGGCCATCGAAGGACCGTGCAGGTGCCTGTGGACGCCTCACCATCAGGAGGCGGTGCGTAGCCTGCTGTCGCAATGTCACTGGACCCAGGCCCGACTGCATGCCCACGGGCTGGCGGAGTCGCCACTCTGTAAGTTATGTAGACGTGCGCCAGGCACGCTGTTCCATCGTAGGTTTTGTTGCGACGCGTTCGAGGGTGATCGCCGCGCGTCCCTTGACCCTTCGGTGCGCCAGCAGGCGCGGCAGCTTGAGGAATGGTGTCAGGACCTTGAGAAGGCTGCCGCTGGCATATTCCCCGCCCCTCTTGAGCTCGTCCCACCCCCGTTGCATTGCGGTCAGGCCCACATTGTTTGGGTCAATCGGCCAGCCAGCGGGGCCCTCTCGGGGAATATTTTTTCCGACGGCTCCGCCATGGACCCGACTGACCCCCTGCTCTCGCGGGCTGGTTGGGGCCTCGCTCAGGTGGACGACGACGGTGGTTTCGTTTCGGGGTGTTACGGGGCGGTGCCGTACGAGCAAGGCCCCTTCCAGACAGCGCGAGACGGGGAAGATTTCGCCATCATGATGGCAGCCGCAGGGTGTGTGGACACACTCAGTGAGCATCGTTTCTTCATAGATTGTGCTGCCACGGTCGCGGCCTTTCAAGACCCGATCGGATCGGTGGAGGCAGGATCCCGCAGTGCGCACCTGTGGAGCCGCGTCCATTCAGTTTATGACGCAGGCCCGCCCTCGGTCACCAAGGTGAAGGCCCACTGCTCTTGGGGAGATGTCGATGCGGGCCGCACCACCACGTTCTGTAAGCTCGGCTCGGACCGAGCAGACGAGCTCGCCAAGAAAGGGGCCCAGCTCCACCCGGCCACGAGTGAGGCCAAGAAGCAGATTCGGGCCCTCAGCTCCTTTGTCACTCAGGTGCTGCGCTGGGCGGGAGAGCAAGAGGTCCATATGGCGGAGCGAGGCATCCGCGACTCGGACCCCCTCCCTGACAAGGCCCAGCGGCAGGCGGCCAAGGTTGAACGTCTGGCTCGCGGTGAGGACCCTTCCCAGCAGCTCTCGCTCCCGAGGCTCCGAATCGCCACCGATGCCTTCCTGTGGGCTGAAGAGACCCCTGAGCTGGGCATGTTGATGCGTCTCACCAAACACGCTCTTGCCTGTGCACGTGTCTTCGGTCCCGACGGATTGCCGATCTTGGGAGGGTCCACTGTTTTATTTTGCACCTGTTGTGGTGCGTATTCGTGGGGAGGAGCCAAGAATCTATGCCAGGACTGCTCGCCCACGATGATCACTGTGGCGCTCAGGCGCCAGCGGAACCGAGCTGCGAAGGGGCAGTTCCCGTCCTGGGCCCCCCAATATAAGGGTTGGTCGATAGGGCCCCCACGCACGCCTTCACTGCCAGAACTGGCGGCGGTCGCCTGCCTTGGACTTCGAGGAGCAGGCGCGACCCTCCTCCAGCCTGCTGGGCCAGGTAGTGACGGGGAGGCGGCGGTGGAGGGGGTTTGGGGGGAAAAGTGGACGGCCCAGCAGCTGAGCGCTAGGTTCGGTTTCACCCCATCTGAATTAAATGCGTGTGCGGACCGTCTCCAGGCCGACCTGGAGGCGGCGAAGGGCCGAAAGAGGCCTCAGGGGGCTCCAGGAGGCCCCTTTCAGGATCCCTCGGATTTCTGGGCCGAACCCGTGCCCGTTCCTTGGTGATCGCGCCCAGGGTGGCGTTTCGGTTTTCGGGCCCTCGCCCCTGTAGCCCGCGGGTCGCCGCGGTCCTCTATCGCTCGCTCGCCAGTGGTCACTGATCTTGGTCGGCATGGGAAATGAGAAAAATGAGGAGGAGGAGGACGGGGAGGATGAGGAGGAGGAGGAGGCGGAGGCGGAGGCGGAGGCGGAGGCGGAGGCGGAGGCGGAGGAGGAGGAGGAGGAACAGGAGGAGCAGGAGGAGCAGGAGGGGGAGGGGGAGGGGCAGAATGATGAGGAGGAGGAGGATGAGGAGGAGGAGGCGGAGGATGAGGAGGAGAACTCGTAATAATAATACTACTACTATTAATAATACGAATAATAATAAGGATAATATTAATACTACTACTACTACTAATAATAATAATAATAATAATAACAATATGATGAATACTACGAAGACCAGAATAATAATCACAATAATACGATTAATAATAATACTAAACATACGAACCATACTAAGACACACAATAAGAATACTACGCTGAATAAGGCGGAAACGACGGATACTAGTAGTACGAACAATACGAAGAGTAATACGAATAATAATAATACTAATACTAATAATACTAATAATAATAATAAGCAGACTAAGACTAATACCAAGACGAAGCATACCAATACTAACACGAAGCATCCTAATACTAAGGTCAATAATAATAGTTCTAAGACTAATACGAATAATAAGAACAATACGCATACGACGACGAAGTCGAATAATAATAGTAAGAAGAATAATAAGAATAATCACAAGAAGACGACGAAGACGACGAAGACGAACCGGACGACTAATACGAACCATACGAGGAGGAGGATGAGGCGGAGGAGGAGGAGGTGGAGGAGGCGGGGGCGGAGGCGGAGGCGGAGGAGGAACAGGAGGAACAGGAGGAGGAGGTGGAGGAGGAGGAGGAAGAGGAGGCGGAGGAAGATGCGGAGGAGGAGGAGGGTGAGGAGGAGCAGGACTACTCATGATAATACTAATAGTCATAATAATCACAATGCTAAGAATACTAAGGAACATCAGAGGACGATTATTACTACTGATAAGAAAAAGAATACTAGCACTAAGAAGACGATGAATAATAAGAATATGCAGATGACGAATAACACATGAAGAATACCAATCGTCGTAGTATGAGTAACAATAATAATCATACCATGCATAAGACGAATACGCATCATAATAATAAGACGACTACTAATAATAAAAACACTAATACTGATATTAATAATGATACTACGGGCTTTTACGAATAAATAAGGATACCAATGCGACTAATCATACTACTAAGAAGAAGACGACGAAGAGGCGGATGAGAAGGGGGAGGAGGGGGAGGGGGGAGGATGAGGAGGAGGTGGAGGAGGAGGAGGAGGAGGAAGTGGTGGAGGAGGCGAAGGCGGAGGAAGAGGAGTAGGAGTCAGAGGAAGAGGACGAGTAATAATAACAACAATAATACTGATACTAATAATCAAAATACTCATCATACGACTAGTAACAAGAAGTAACATCATCAAAGCCATAAGCAGAATCAGACACATAAGCAGAAGCAGAAAAAGACGATGAAGGAGAAGAAGATGAGGATGAGGACGGCGGAGGAGGAGGAGGAGGTGGATGAGGAGGGCGGAATAGGAGGAGGAACAGGAGGAGGTGGAGGAGGAGGAGGGCGGAGGCGGAGGATGATGATGTTGATGAGGAGGAGCAGGAGGAACAGGAGAAATAGGAGGAGGAGGAGGAACAGGAGGAACAGAAACAGGAGGAACAGGATGAACAGGAGGAGGAGGAGGTGGAGAAGGAGGAGGAGGATGAGGAGGAGGAGGCGGAGGAAGGAGGAAAAGGAGGCTGATGATCAGGAGGAGGAGGAGGACAAGCAGGACAAGGAGCAGCAGGAGGAGGATCCATCTCCCTCGGGGGGCTTCCCTGCGGCCTCCCCGCCCCATCTCCCCCGGCCATGCGCCCCTGGGGACCCCCTTCTCGGGCCGCCTCTCTCGTGCCTGTCCTGCCTGGCTCTCCGACCAGATCCATGGGGGTACCAAAAGGTACGGTAGGTTCAGGCGGCGATGGCGTGGCGGCGACGCCGGCGAAGGCGTTCAAGATTGAGGTCCACATGTTAGAACGACGCGGAGACACCGAGGGGCACGGTAGCGGCACGCGACCCGACGGAATTCAACCTTGGACGATCAGGGCTGCGATCGGTTCAAGGTGGAACGATCGACGCGGTGTCAAAAAACTTGGCGCGCGCCGACGCGATACCGATGCCGTTGCACGCCAGTCGTTGAAAGTAGATCTTTTCGGATGCTCAAGTTCCAGTCTGCTTGAGGCGCCTTCCTGCTTCAAGAGCCGAGTGGTGTTCCCTCTGCCCTCGTCCTCGGGAGGCTGGCGGAAGCCCAATCTACTTTCAGCGCCTTCATGCTTCATGTTCCTACTGACTTCTTCGGACCGACGGGTACTCCCCAGACCTCTCCTGGGGTGCGTTCTGACCAGGATTAGGCGGTGGCGATGAGGGCCTCCCAACCTCCAAGAAAGGGAACGAGGCAAGAGTAGGGGTATTGGTACTTCTTCACTCTCCCGAGATCACCCCGCTGCACGTTTCTCTTGGCATCGCTCGGACGTGTCCACGTCCTTCCGGCGAGGACCATCGACACGCATCCTGGATCATCTTGCGAAAACTCAGCGCACGAAGCCGACACGTGCACGGGGAATACGGACTCAGCGCACAAAGCCGAGCGATGGTAAGGTACGCGCTCCCCTCCCCCAGAGCGCTCCCCCGTCGGGCGGGGCCCGCTCGGCCCCCCGCTGCCCAGCGGGTCCCGCATGGCAGCCTCGCGGCCGCACCTCTCGATTGCGAGCAGACCTCGTGGAGCAGGCTCATCCACTCTGCTGTACAGTGGAGGCCCATGCCAAGAAACACCCTGCTTGCCTCCGGGGTGCCCTGGGCTTCTCGGGCTTCGATGCTTTTGCTGTGGACAGCGTGACGCTCCCACACCAAGCACCAATGGGCGTCCTGGAATCTCGGGGTTGGGTTTCTTCTGGAAGGTTTCTTGTGGTCGAGCACCCTATTGTACCAAAACGCGCTGCGGCCACCAAGTGCAGAGGAGGAAAAGGTACCCATGCCGCTACCTTTTGCTCGTTTTCGCCTTTTTGTCCTCCTGGAAGACCCTCGTCGCCACCGCGCCTCGAAATTCTTGTCACCACGCACCCCGGGAGAGGTCCAGGGAGTAGCGGTATCGGTACCTTTTGGTTTCGCCAGAACTGGCGAATCTAATGGATCTGATCGACGATATTGGGTGTCGGACACCCCCGCTCGGGATCACCTGGCTGCAGACGTCCTTCAACCTCAACCGACGTTGCAGAG